TGTTTGACTCGATGAGTTTCATTATTCAATGGGGACTAGAGACTGCATGACCTCAATCGTATTCTAACATTATAATCACTAATTTTGCTTAAGAGCAATGATAGCAATACTATTGATAGATCACTGACCAGTGTGTAACGAAAAGACTCAAAACACATTTCCAACACAAGGTAAGAAACTTCTAAGACATAAGATGCAGCAGCTCTTCTGATACTCAGGGCATGAGACAGCTCTTTCAATATATCAGCTTGCAGAAGGCTTATATGCTTAAGCTTTGATCTTAGCATGCCTTGGCAGCAAGCTAACTTTCTGAGGTGCCAGCATAAACCAACACTGGATTCACACATTTTCTAGACCTGTTGAACATAAAAGGCCTTGCTAAAGCAGCAGACTGGTCCAATTAATTTTCCTGGAATGCAAGATCATTCAATCCAATGAGGTTAATAGGAAAAATATTGTAGATTCAGAGTTAAGGGAGATAAATGAGGCTATGACAGCAAATGAAATATCTTACAATATGAGATTCATGAACCCTAAAATGCTGCAATGTTGTTCATCACATTTCTTTTTTATTCTCTTTTTTTAAAGGATGACACTGGTGATGGTATGTTTTTAATGGTTTTATATGGTTTTTATAATGTTGGGTTGAATGTTTTTAACTGTATTAAAAGGATCAAGAGTCTGGAGAACAAGCCCTATGAGGAGCGGCTTAAAGAGTTGGGCATATTTAGCTGAAGAAGAGAAGGCTGAGAGGAGACATGAAAGCCAGGTATAAATACGTGAGAGGAAGTCATAGGGAGGAGGGAGCAAGCTTGTTTTCTGCTACCTTGGAGACTAGGACATGGAAAAATGGCTTCAAAGTACAAGAAAGGAGATTCCTTCTGAACATTAGGAAGAACTTCCTGACTGTGAGAGCCATTCAGCAGTGGAACTCTCTCCCCCGGAGTGTGGTGGAGGCTCCTTCTTTGGAAGCTTTTAAACAGATGCTGGATGGCCATCTGTCGGGGGTGCTTTGAATGCAATTTTCCTGTTTCTTAGCAGGGGCTTGGAATGGATGGCCCATGAGGTCTATTCAAACTCTATGATTCTACTTTTATGAATGTATGGCATGAAATTCTGCCAATATTGTAAGCTGTCTTGAGTCGCTGCAAGGATGAGAAAGGCGGGCTACAAATGCCATAAATAAATAAATAAATAAATAAAAGTTTTTTTTTAAAAAAACCTAACAAAAACAAACATTTCATTCCTTAAAAATCATTAACAATTCAACAATAGCTTTACTAGTGCAAACATTGCAGATGGCATTGGCTTACTTATCATGGTGTCTCTCTAACTCAGAAGTTTAGGAGCTCCACCACAACTCAGCCAATTCTGAAAGAACTTCTTATTTTTCACTCTACATCTCTACAAGGATAGTTTTCTCAACAGATGGCAGATGTCTACATGTCACAAGCAATGCTTGTAAAAAGCAAGATCATGTGAGATTGCACCATTAGGACTGTTTGCAAAGAGATTTTGAGGGATCTTATCTTGTAAAAATGACATGATGAAAGTTATTCATGAACAGTATCGCTTAGCTTAATGAATCATACTTGGACTGAAGAAGTGTGTCTTCTGGGTGATCTGGGAACTTCCACATACAGAAACTTTACACTTAAAATAAACAGCTGGTAGCCTCACACGATCCATTTCACAATAATACCCTGCTCTGTTTTAAAGCCATTTTTAGGCCTTTATATATTACAAAACCTGAAACCTCACACAGTGCAACAGTCTACCAACAAGAGAAAGCCCATTTGTTTCTAACCTGAGGTTTTATCACCCTTGATCTTGGCACAGGAGGGGCCATCTCCACCCAGCTGCAAACAAATGCAATTCACTACCTTTATATGTATTCAGAAGAAATTCCCTAGAGATGAGTCACAGGTTCTTTAAAGGGTGTCCAGGGAGATGTCAAGCAGACATTGCGTGTAAATCAATGACACACCTTGTGTTAGAGAACACACGCTGTAGCCTGCAGGTCTTTTCCCTCTAAGACACAGCACAATAGAATTACTGGCTGATGGACATTCCCAGAGAGGCTCCTATGAATGAATACGTGCGCGCGCACCCACACACAGAACTAGCAGCAAAGAAAGAGTTTCTATTTATTATTCCTGAATAAAAACAATGGGGATTTAAGGAGGGGCTCTTACATGTTCCTGAAACTTGTAACTAGGCTTAGCAGAAAGAGAAAGTGTGTCTGCAATCTAGTTCCCTTAGCAAGCTATTCCATCCATTTCTCCATTATCAGAACAGGAACTCTAATGGGACTGTCAGATGCACAGTTTGTTGAATTTTGTACAACATGAAATTATAAGAGATTTTTTCCCTTCCTACCCCAATAGATCAGATAGTAGTAGACACCCTGTCCAAAAAAACCAAAAACCCAACATGGGCCCCCACTGGACTAATTTACATATAATGCCAACCATACTTTAGTGCTACCCAAGCCTTACTTAGACTTTCAAGGTAGGGTTACTTGAATGTGGGAGAAGAGGATTTGTTCTGTCTCTTCCACTGTTACTCAATGGAGAGTGATCATCTGAAGAGGATAGTCTCTTCTACGCATGTTGCTACATAATGAGAAAGCCTGGTTTTACTAAGTTCTGTACAGAGAGCATCCACATGTAGAGGGATGCAAAGATGGAGGGCCTGAAGCTAGCATATTCTCTTTTCTGATGTGTCAACCTGACCCTGAATGCCTGAATAGGGCAACAGGAAATCCTGAATGAATCCACGAAATGTAGGAATTCTGTTTTCCTGTTTCTTTCTTTTTTCCTGATGCTTGGGAGTCCAGGGTTAGAAATATGTTTGAATCAGATGGTGTGATTTAAAGCAAATTTTATTTAATTTTATGTAAGTATCAGAATTCTTGGTGTGAAGCTGTTTTGTGACTAATGTCAGTAATACGCATGAAAGAGCTTATTCACCTTGTGCTTGCCAACAAAGGCCACCATTTTGGAATCTCTTTCAGAGAGGACTATTTTGTGCAAACTACATTACCTACTATTTTGTAGCACTAACAGGGAGAAAAAAAAGTGTGTATTGTGTATAAAGAAGAATGCTGTAGTAGTTTAAATGTTGAACCAGGACTCTGGGAGACCAGAGTTTGAGTTCTCCGTTTAGCCATGGAAACCCACTGGGTGACTGAGGCAAGTCCCATTCTCTCAGCAACAGCAGAAGGCAATGGTAAACTCCCTCTGATTGCTACAAGTCAGAAATGACTTGGAAGAACACAAGATGAAAGTTTGAGTGACCTATTATGTGGCAAAGCAACATAGACCCAGTTCATTAATTCTATCCAGCAGTTGTTTTAGATTCAAAGTGTCACACCTACTTTTCTGGATGAACCCCAAAGACTCTTTTCAAAAAGGCACAGATTTTAAGTTCAAGTGAAACTGTTTGAGGTTTTAATGCACATGTAAACATTACTGTAGAATAGAAGTAGGAGCAGTAAATCAACACACCCTCATTACCCTGCCCTCCCATTGTTATATATAATTGTGCCTCAAGAGTTATGAGGATTAATTTCTTCCTTTCTTTCTCAATATAGCATCATCTATAAATCGTGAACCTACTTGGCACTAATGCTGAAAATTCAAAAGCTTTAATGTACCATGGAATAAATTGGTTCTTTCATGGCATTGGGAGGAATATCATGCCAACAAACACCTGTAAGGTAACATGAGTATCTAGGAGCTGCATAAAAAGATAGACTAGGGACACACCCTCAGCTCACTCAGTATCAAAAGGATGACATTTGCATCTTTAATCACAGATCACTGAGTATGTAACGTAATTTCCACTTTTTAGCATTTGTCTAAGTTATGGAACACTGATCTTGGAGTACTGCAAAGTAATTCTTGCTTCCTGGAGTAAGCAGAAGATGACAAGACAAGACACTGTCCCTTTTACCTTTCAACTTCGTTCCCAAGTGACTAACAATTATTAAGTGTCATTAATATTAAAAAGCAACGGCACGACGGAAATGCAATCCCTTCTCATCAGGGCAGATTCCATAATATTACAAACAATTAGTTCAAGGGAGAAGAGAAGGCTGGAGAAAAATAAATTATTGATACTTTAGAACAGATGGTTCTTTTTGTATTAGGAGAAGTGAAACCTAAGAGAGCATGTATCTGAGGTGAGGATTAGATGAGTATCCACAGATCAGAAAATGCAAAAAGGGAATTCATGTAGGGATGAGATATGAGCAATTCATTATTTGTATTTCTTTCTAATGGCCATGGCCACAATCAGAAAGCCCAATGGGAAAATTACCAACTTAACAAGGGGAGGAATGTGTAGGTCATAATGTAATACTTTATTTGATTGTAGTTTTGTTTGATTGTAGTTTTAATTCTCATCCTTTAAAAATCATTATCTGAGTCCAGCTCTTGCTCTTTTTTTTCTTAAGTCAAAATGCCACTTTGAAGACCTTTATAGCATAAGACCTCTGAAAACTGAAGCATTGCTTAAGGATGTCCACTAAAAATATTCTGCACACCTTCACAAAGCATATTAATTATTGAAAAGTCGTGATGATTATAAAATGTTTCAAAACCAATTTAAGAATGTACTGTGGATTTAGCAGTCTCATGCCAACTGAACCCCATTTTTTTCTGGAAGTTAAACATAAAATTCTATTGCAAAGATGTATGCTCAAGAGTCAAACAGGAGCTTATGTTATTTCAGGGAGCCCCCAGAAGCACATTGTTGATGCATTTCTTTCATATGCTTTCCTTATTCCCTTCATGTAAGGAAATACATATGTAAGGTAAGATTTTGTTTGATAATTGGAGCCTTGAAGGATCAGATCAAGATACAGCCCACCCATTCTGTTTCTGCTAGTAAATGTCTCTAGGAAGCATATGCAGGTAACAACAATAGCCCATTATCCCTCCTGGACATGCATACACTTATCATACCCAATGCTAACTGAATAGAAAATTCCTTACCTCTTTGATGGCAGACATCTTGATAGTCTCATAGTAATGTAGTGGTGCATTTGGAGAATTCATGTCATAACCAAATCCAGCCACAGCAACCTCATCACAATTGTGAAGCACCATGGTTATTGCTACACTTCCCAGAGTAGGAATGTTCTGTGTCAGGAAAGGGGGGGAAAGGAAAAAGACAACACAAGCCATGAAGCACCTTTTCAGCTTTTTAAGTTTCAGCTTTTTAAGTATCATTCTCTTAATGTATCTCAAATGACAGAACAGAATTTTGTTTGTGGAACTAGAATAAAGTCCCGGGTTGCCAAAATGATAACAGGAAGCAGGAAGGAAGATTCCATAGTAATTGAAAATAGAAGGGAGGAGTTAAAACAGGAGTGAAAGGGAAGGACAGCAATGCAGAAGAAAACAAGGAGAAGAAGGTATTGGTAGGGAGATAAGAAGACAAAAAGGAATGGAAAAATTAAGTGGCAAGGCTTAGCACTGATTCCCAAGCAAAATCAACATGTTACTCAGTTTTCTTAATTTCAATTTTATTTTTAAAATGTTTTTACTAACCTCTCATTTTGCTAAAATGATACAAATGACACAAAACAATGTTTATGAATTAATAGGCAAATTTATTTCACATTTTCCCCATTAAATATGTAATCATATTGCTCCTCTATACACATATCACTTTCTCCTGCCAGTAACAGGTGGAAGGGATATATAGAGGGCATTTGTCATTGTTCCCAAGTGAAAGTTTATATAGATCAGACCCCTGGCAATGAGTATCGATAGGTATATAGCATCTTCAGAGCAACTGAGCTATTCCTTTGGAGAAAGTGCAATCTTTTCAAATCAGGTCATTCCCTATTAACTAATCATTTTATATAATGTTGACTTACCTCCCATGGTTAGTTCAAAGTGGTGGGAATTATTATTTCATAAGTTAATGTTCACTGTTAATTATTTAACAAGTAATGGTTATCAGTGCTAGAAAATATGTCATTCATGGTTATCTGATAATAGCTGTGCATGCTTTTAGTTACCAGGATTCCTTCTCAACCTTACAATCGGATTTCAGGAGCACCATAAGTTTTAGACAATATAAATGTCTTCATTACCACAGACAGAGAACTCTTACTTTATTTTACCAGCTTTTCCTTTTGTGTAGCTTGCTGAACCTGTAATGTTCCTCTTCTAGAAACAGAATCATCTTGTTCAATAGAGTGTGGCTGTATAGCAGACAGCAAAACTCAAATCACCCTGGGGGCCATTTGTTATTAATCTAAGAGTATGCCTCTTTCTATTAGTTCCTGCTAAACCTGAGCATGAAGCTTGTGGGCTTTTCCAAGTCATCTAATTGGCCACAATAGAATCACAATGATGGAATAGAAGGATCTCTGTTTAACTCATCAGGTCTTTTCTTACATTGGTGTTTTCTCATTACCACTTGATCTAATGGGCAAGTTGATATCCTGAGATACTAATGCATGAATTTATAAAGGATTACAAATAATTGATACTATTTTTTTCTAGAAGTCTGAAAACTATTAGCAAGAGTGGCAGCAGAGCTGTACACTTTATATTAAACAGGCTTTGACCTAAAGAAACTTTTAACACATGTGTACAACCTTTATTATAGTTATTGGACCCCACAGTTAGCCTCCAACAGTTAATTTCCTTTGAGTAATAGGACTGTCACAGAAATACGTAAGTCATTTTCCAGAGAGACGCAGAAAAATCTCAGAGCAGTATGCAATAAGAAAAGATCATTAACTTAAAAACACCTTTTCTGCTTCTACCACAATAGCTACTAATTTGATAAAACATTACAAGCAAACTATGTTCTTGCATTGCATTTCTCTGAAAAACAAACAATACCAACCATTTCTACGTCATATGCATCAGAAAACCTTTGCTGCTTCAATGCCCTGCCAGGTTTATGAGCTGTTGAGGTCATTTCTGTGTCACTGCCTTTTGGACTGGGAGGAAATGGTTGTACTAAATCTCTTGGGAGAAATACGTGACACTCGTGTTATATAAAGAGGTTTTCGTTGTTATTTGATTCATGGAGGGGGAGCATTGTCTATACCGGGGGTAGGTCAAATGAGGCCCTTGGGCTCCTAATTGTTGCCCATGGAAACCCCTCAAAGATCCCTCCACATTTTGACTTTTTACTGACTTATTTTCAGGGTATTTTTGCCCCCAAACCTTCCCACATTTTCCAAATCAGCCTCAAAAAACAGCAATACACCCTCTCCCTTCTCTGAAACAGAAATTTTTCTTTGGTCAAAATGGTGGCTAGGAGTAATATCATGACACTTTGGACACACTGAAATGCTGTGGTCACCCAGGCAGGTGTAGGAAGTTTGTTTGCAGTTGCTCTTCCTGATCTATAAATGTGGCTCTTCAAGAGAGTATCAGCAACATGGCATATGATAGTTTTAATAGTTATCTCTGCACCTTCAAGACAGTGCACCCCATTTTGGGACAAACCAGGTATGGGCAAATCTAGGCCTGGGGGCTGGATGTGGCCCCTTGGGCTCTTTCCTGACGCCCTCCTCTCTCCTATCCTTTCCTTCTTCCCTCCCTCCCTCCCTATTTCTTCCTCCCCCTTCCTTCCCTTCCACCCTTTTGTCCTTCCTTCCCTCTTTCCTTTCTCATTCTTTCCCCTTCCTTCCTTCCCTTTTGTCTTTTTCCCCTCCCTTCCTTGTCTTTCCTCCCCTTACCTTTTCTTTCCTCCCTCCCTTCCTTTCTTTCCTCCCTCCTTCCCTCTCTCTTTCCCCTTCCTTCCCTCCTTCCTCCCTCCTTTCCTCCAATTCCTACTTCACAGCACCTCAAAGTTTCTATGTCATAAATAACACAATTCCATCCATCCATCCATCTATTCCTCCCTTCCTTTTCTTTTTCCTTCCTCCTTTCCTCCTGGGGGATGTTTAGCTGGGAGAAGAGAAGGTAGAGAAGGAACATGAGAACCATGTTTCAAGATTTAAAAGAGTTTCCCAATGAGAAGGAGAGAGGACCTGACTTTCTGCTGCTCTAGAGACTAGAACACAAGGGAGCAATGGGTTCAAATCGCAGGAAAAAAGAATTGACTGAAAAGATTAGGAAGAACTTCCTGAGAGTAAGAGCTATTGGAGAGTGTCATAGGTTGCCTAGGAGTGTGGTGGCGTCTCCTTCTCTGAAGGCTTTTCCGCAGAGGCTGTCTATTGGGAGTGCTTTGATTGTGCCTTCCTACCTGGCAGGGGGTTGGACTGGATGGCCCTTGGGGGTCTCTTCCAACTCTAGGATTATATATCAGGAGTAGGCAATACAGGGTCTAATGGATACACCTTTTTTCCTCCATCCACCATTTCATCCTGATCAAGACCAACCCTTTTGGGATCCAAATGTTTCCCGTCTTTCCTTCACTTTCTGCCTCAGGAAGAGAAGAGGAAGGGGAGGAAAGGGCAGGGAGGGGACTTGGGGAGAACCCCCTTCCTCCAGACCTGCTCACCTTGCCCGTCATGCGGCCCCCAAGTTAGAAAGTTTGCCCATGCCTGCGTTAAACCAAACCAAACCAATCCCACACAGGCTTATTATCAACTTTCTTGACCAAAAAGTAGTCACAATTCCTACCTCACAGCACCTCAAAGTTTCTATGTCATAAATAACACAATTACTGGGGCAAGATATAAATGTAGGAAAACAATCTAAAAAACTAGCAAAAATCTTAATTTTATTAATCTGATGAGTATTAACATCAGAGTTTAAACTATAAATCATCCTTGTAGTTTGAATTCAAACATTTCACTCATTTTTCAAGGGTGATCTTTGCATGCATCTTGTCATTTATAAAAATATATATTCTGAGTTCCTGGTTCAAGGATTGGTGCTTCTACATGTCTGTGATCCATTTAAAAATAAATAGTACATTTTGAGTAACTTGATACGTAGCTTTACAATATTATTTTCTTCTTCTAACAGCCTTGTAGATTCTTAACTATGGGATCTAGATTGCACAATGGTCACTAAAATATTTTAACAACAATACAACAATTAATCCCAAATGTTTTTAAATAGCAGTTTTTCCCTGGGGGAATCTGAAACACTAATTTAACACGCTACTGAAGTCAGCCAAGGTACAATAATACATATATATTGTTGTTGTTTTTACAAACTTGGATTTAAAAAATGTTCATTCTTCTGTAAGCAACCCAGAATCTCATAAATGCTGCAAGTTCTTGTGGAACAGATGTTTAGCAAGGGCACTGTATTAAACTTAAAAAATATTCAAAATAACCTCAAAATAAAATGCACAAACCCACATTTTAGATATATAAACCTACCAAGACTGCACAACTACATACTATATACTACAAGTAAACTACCATGAAAAACTATGAACTTCCCACACTCTATCTGATGGTTGTTGTCTCTTATTAGTCTACTTCCTTTAAACAATAATGTAATCATACTTTCCCTGCGTGGTCACTGCAATTTACACATATATGGTAATATCCGGCGCTCGCGCCGGCAGCAACGGAAAGTTCACGAGACTAAAAATTCAGTTGGAGCAGCCCCTCCCGCCCCTCTCCCCTCTATAAATAGCCCTCCTGAGGGGCTGCGGCCAGTTCTTTCAATCCGCGCTAAAAAGGCAGCATCTAGGAAAGTGAGAAGACTTTAAAYTAATATTAAAAAAAAAATGACTACAACTTCCTTCAAGAAGTGTGTTTCATGTCCGAATAAATATCCGGACAATGATGCACACCCACATTGTCTTGTTTGTTTGGGAGAGGAACACCTCTCCCAACCTTGTGATGTTTGCAGAGCCTTTACACCGCAGACAAGAAAAAATAGAGAATTACGGTTAAAGGCAGCGCTATATGAGCAGGCTCTGCTCCCTCCGATGGAGGATACAATGGATAAGGCAGATCCTGCCCTTAAGAAAAAGAAAGTAATAAAATTGAATAAGATTAAAGCCAGCAAGCCCTCTGAGAGAGATGAAGTGGCTCAAACTTCTCAAGTGAAGAAGCCTCAAAACCCCTCTAAGGAGGGAGAAATGGCCTTGCTTAACCAACTGCCGAGTAAAATGGCGGTTGTGACGCACAATGAGGAGAAAAATGAAGGGGCGACCCTTCAATTACCTTCTGAAGCATGTCCAAAAATCCTGGTGCCAT